TGATCCTGTGAAATTTCCTTCCATCTCTATTTTTTATAGTTCCTAACAGGAACAAAGAAGCCACTGTATGATACTATCAATCAGTAAAAAGTTCTCTGTGTTCTCTTAATGTGAGGACCACAGACTGACCCTTTCTTGTTTTCTGTTGAAGTTCAAATATTGAACTGACTTTTAAGAAAACCGACTTTCTCTTCTTAATTATCAGGACCACAACGGGATGCACAAGCGGCACGAGAGTTCATCCTGAAGATGTTCGTAGACCTGAATCCAGACAGTGACAAAATTATCTACTCCCACTTCACATGCGCTACAGACACAGAGAATATCCGCTTCGTCTTTGCTGCTGTCAAGGACACAATCCTACAGTTAAACCTGAAGGAGTACAACCTGGTCTAACTGTGCCTAGGAGGCCCTCCAAAACCAACTTTGCGTGATTAAAGATATACAAGAGGGACTGTATTATCTGTGAAAACAATTTGCATAATACTAATTTATTGCCGGCCTGGACTCTGTGAATGTCCACAGAGTTTGTAGTTAATATTATGATTTTATTTAAAACTATATGGAGGAAAACCAAAAGATGCTGAAGTACATTCACAGCACATTTCCTCATTTTTTAGGCAGAACCTTGTGACTCAATGTGTTTTAAATTCTCTCCCTGACCCTTTCTCTCTCCCTCCTTCCCACCCCCCTCCACCCCCTTTATCTTTTACAAGGTACAATGGCCTTTTTTTTCCTAGTTACATTCCTGGGTGAAATATTTTCTGCTGAGTGATTTGGTCAGGAAAATACGATCATCAGTACTTAAGTCATCAGTCATTCTGATTTTACAGTATGTACTTTCTCTGAAGGATCTTAAGTATTGATACTGTGATTTTTAGATTGATTACAGGGGTGTCTTCATTCTGTCTTCACTTTTGGGACTAGAATATTGGGATTGCAAAATAAAATTACAGTTGTCTAAGGATATTAAATTTCACCGTATTTGCACAGTTTGGAAAGGTGCACAGAAGACAGTAATGAAAAAGTCAAGACACAACCTGGGATGTACGTGGAATATGTTAGAGTCTCTTTTTAATTGCCATGTGCCATTTTTTCTCTCTTACTTTATTCATGAATGCCAAATAGAAATGTCATAGACACTACATTTTCCCTGGTGGCTACAGCCTGAAACAATGGGTTTTTTTCAGTTGTGTGGGTTTTTTTTCTTAAGTTAGAGCTTTTTTAAGTGTTCTTTTTCCACAGTAGAAAGATTATTTTTATTGTATAAAATTAAATGTTGCCAGATCTGGCTTTTTATAAAACCAATGCTCTTGAAACAGAAGGTATAGATTGAAATGCCAAACTGATGGGTTGGGAACTGACCTGATTGAGTCAACTGCCAAATGATAAACAAACAGTTTCAGCTCATATGTTCCCTTTTCTATGCCAAAACCAACAGTGTGAGTGAATATGCTACGAGGTGCACCAAGCACACGCATGTGGTCTACTAATTCAAAGATAGTGTAAATCTCTTCTTAGGTCAGATACGGCTTGAGATTGTTTTCTGTAATAATATCAAGGCACCTTTAGTTGTATAACAAGAAACTATTGGTGAGAGATTACATTCGGGAAGAACCTTTCTTGATAAGATTGCTTGTTAACTAACTGATTCACAGACGTTTGATAGGCTTTCATGCACAATAGCCTCTCTCAGTGTTCTTTGGAGAAGATTTATTAATGTAAATGAGGTGGTGAGAAAATCATTCTTGAAATTTAAATGTGCAATTTTTTAACAACAAAAATGCAGCACTCATTGATGAGCCTTTATTCTGCAGCTTAGGTTGAAAGGTGTTTTTTGACCAGGTGCACGATCCCTAGCAAGCTACAGAAAACTCAGAGTTCAGACATGTAATTGTATTGATTATCTGCAATGCCAAGTAGCACTAGAGTGCGCTTAACACAGAAATTGCTGCCTCATAGCAGCGGATGGGAGGTAGAAAAAATAATGGCTTATTAGTTGATTACCAAAGTTAACAATAAATACTAATGAGACGTTTTTCATCCTTTACCCTCCGTACTCCAAAACAACAATAATAAGAACAGTTGCTATTTTTTGCTCCCTCTTAAAACACCTTGTAATTTAAAACTGGTTGTAGGTATAGTGCAATTATGAATGCTATAATCATTGTACATACATCTATATATATATATGGCAGCATCCATATTGGCTTTGTAATCATTAATTTTTGGCAGATTGAATGTGCTGTATTGATATGTATCTATGTAATTGTATTGTATGTCTTATAGCTAATTCACATTTTAAATAATGTTATTTTATTTACTTTTTTAAGAGAGAAGAATGTAAATTTTGTCAGTTTATTTCTGACTAGGGATTTGTTGTTGTTTTTTATTTACAAAACAAAGAAAAATACTGTAGTACAGAGCGGTACTAGCATCGTGCTGTATAAAATTATTTGCACATTCCTGAGTAGAAGTAAATTGGAGACACCCGGACAGAGGCCATTCACATTCAAAACAATGCTTAAATCTTGTCAGGCCTTTATACAGCTTCTTTTATGGGAAGAATTTATGCTGTTATATCTAGGATTGGAACATATCTAGTACTGGAACATAAGCTTTTAAATACAAATTCAACTTATATTTGGCAGATTCATGTTAGGTTACTATTACTTTTCTAATAGGCTTTATTAGAAAAGTAAATATAGAGACATTTCAAACCATTGTACATAAGTACTAATGGGTATATGCTGTTGCCCTAAAAATACTATGAAAAAATATGGAAAATCAGATCAATCGAACAGTCTTTCAGAAACTACAGAAACCTTAGATATAACAACAACAACCAAAAAGTCACTATCATTAATGATTTTAAGGTGTTAAAGCATTTTATTTAATAAAGCTGAAGCAGGTAGACCTAGGTTATAAAAAGTGACACTGACATTCTGAGTAGGGGATCAGAGCAGTGACTCTTACATACAGCATTACAGAATTGGTCCTGTTCTTGCTATAAATGCAGCAGAACTTCTGTTTTCACAGTTCTACTGTTGATCATATCCCATCTTTTAACGGGGGGGGGGGGGGAGGAAGACAGTGTCTAACAAAGGTTTGGGTTTGTTTGATTTTTTTAAATCTATTTCATTTTGTTATGGGATATTGGGTGGGGGAGAAGGAGATGTGGTTCTTGAGTTTTGTATAAAAACAAAAGTTTACTCATGCTTTATAGTTATATTGTGATTGCAAAAGTTTTCAAGAGTGTGTGCCACAGGTCTACTTCTGGTATATTTTAGGTAAGTTGAACCTGTGGCATTGTTTAGATCATTTGAGCATGTTCTGGGGAAAAAAAAAAACACTAGGCATGCCAAGGCAAACTTTACATGAATCACCTAACACAGCATTGCAGTGTGACAGTTTACAAAAACATTTCCTTTCTAAATGACATAGCTGTTCCCACTTGCAGTATATTCCGTTGTGCTGTTGTTGTTGCTATTTTTTTAATTGGTGGTTTCTACTATGCCTTATAGTGCTTGAGTCCAGAAGTTTGTGCCTCTAACATGAAGCTGAAGGCAAAAACATCAAGACAGAAACCCTTTTAACTTTGCCAAAATTATTTGATTTCTTTGAATGTCATAAATGGGGGAAGAGGGAAGGAAAATGTCTTGCGAACCTGTGTATTCTACATGTTCACTAGCACAAGAAAGCTGTAATACATGTTTTACAGAAACCTTAAACTTGCCTTTTTCACAAATTAACTGGCGCAGTCCTTACATATATAGGATCATGCAGCTATAAGGGCAGTTTACTTTTTATAATTCAGACTCTTTTGATTGTCAAGGTGTATGAACTGTAATTTTTAATCATACTGCCACATGATTGTGAATCACTTTTTTAAGTTTGACAGTGGAGAAGAGACTTTTTATGCTGTGTATCAGTCAGAATTGACTGCATGATTTGCAAAAACTCTGAATGGGGGGGAAAAGGGCTGCATATAAAGACATTGCTAGACTCCCAGCCTTTGGGTGTAAGGTGCAGAAGACTTTCACGTTACTCAACCTCATGACCCTTTCCTTGTTACACATTCTTCACAAAAGAATGAAATATTAGGAGAAAACAAAGACATATTAGCCCACAGGAAAAAATAAAATTTACCCAATTAATTTATTATACATGCTGCTGTTCTTGGAGCTTTGTGCATGGTTATCCTGCAGACTATTACATTAGTGAACTAATGAAGTATGCACAGCATATTAAGAAGGCCTACAAATTATCTACCTCTAGCTTAGAGACCAGTAAAGTAAACATGTTTTGGAGAGGCCATCCTAACTTAGGAAATTAAAATGACCTGGTGCAGGTAATTAACCACAGTATTTTAGAAATCTACACGTTTGTAAATAGGTCCCTCTTTTGACATAAACCATAAATTCTAAAATTTAGTACATGTTAAACAACTAAAACGATCTGTCCCTGTCCAGTTTGTTAGTTTTGTAGAGATCTTGCAAAACCATACTCCTAGTTTGAGAAGAGGAGTTACTGATATTTCCTCTTTTTTGGCTTTTGGTTACCCATAACATTTTGAATTTTATCAGTCAAACCAGAAACATTTCTACATAGTCAACAATACATTGAGGGTCACTGTTTAGCTAGTTAAAGGGATTTTACTGTAAGTTTCACTCAAGCTTTTTCACAGTAGCCATGCTGCAGGAAAGAAAGGAATAGAGGAAGATTTTGAAGATAGTGTGAAAAATACAAAGTCAGCTAGATCAATCTTCTATAAATCTGTTGGTTTGGTTTTTTTCTCTCAAAATACAGTCTAAGCTGAACTCTGCTGCTGGATTCCTCATTTACCATGCTGCAGGAAATCCTTATTTGACCAATTTTTTGTGTGTGTGTGTGGGGGGGGGGGGTCAGATACATTTTTAAACTTGCAGTATTTAAAAATAAAGATCATATTTGCTGTTCTTGAAGTGTCATTTAAATGCATGTTTTGTGTGTTGTTTGAGGGACAAATAGTTTTTTTGGAAAAAAGCACTGTACAGTGATTGCCCCTCAAAAATGTTGCTGGTTAAAAATACAATATTTTTGGCCATAACTTCGTACTAGAGTATCTTCATTCCTTGAAATTTAGCTTTTCTGAAATACTATTTGGGTTTATTGTTTCTCCCAAAATGCTTCTTATTATGATAAATGTTGGATAGATTAATTATTCCATTACTACTTTTTAATTTTACATGCTCTGTCCTCATTGTCTAAATATTGAAATTTCCAGAATACCTTCATTACAGCCAGAACATTCAAAACATTTAAGGTTTGCTACAGTGGAGATACTCATTTGACAGTATTATTAAAGGGTTTTTTTGGCTTGTGTACAATGGAAACTGAGAAGCATGGGGGGAAAGAAATAATAGTCTATATCTCACTACTAGAAAACTTCCAGAATTTGTAGATGGTGAGGTGAATTTCTTAAGCGTTTTGGCTGACTGCAGTAGTACTGCAAGAGCAGACATGTTTCTTTGATCTTTTTGTTCGCCTGTGCGATAATAGGAGTAACAGAAAGATGCCTACATGTTGCTCTTCAGGAGTCTGGCTCATATCTGATCAGCAATCAGTGGATTGTCAAATCTTCCTTACTGAAGAAACAGAATTTCAGGCCAGTTG